TCTCAGTCCTTTTTGCAACGGTTTACAGATTTTATCCTTTTAACGGCTTTTCAAGGCAGAAATACATCTTCACCATTTTAAAGCTGAGTTGGGGGCATAGCATGAATTATAGGGCTTCCTTAATTCCATTGTGACAGAGCCGGGACTCAGAGTCCAATTCTCCAAGTCCCAATTCAGCCAGACCAGCCTTGCTCGCTAGTCCACCACAGTGTCAGCTTGCTGCCTACAGTCTCTTGCCCTGTAACGCATTATCGTAGCAAAGCCTAACTGCAGCATCGGGCAGCTATTTCATGGGGGCAATGCCACTGTACTGCTTCCTTTCTGTTGCATCTTTCTGGTCATCCAGTCTCCGCACAACATGACTTGAGCAGTCTCCAGATGTGCAAGGCTGAAAACCGCCATCCTGATGAGCCTCTCTGACTCGCTCACCTTAACTCCTGTCCATGCCACACATCAAACTGGCGCAGATGTGTCATTCAGCACAGATCTGGCACTGCTTTGTTTTGTCTTGTCTTTCTGTTAAAGCATAAGAGCCAAGACCCCTTGACTCCACATGGGAAAAGTCTGGCAACTATCAAGCTGGAAGTGCTTGCCAAGAGCAGCATCTGACTCTGTGCCTAGCTGCCTGGCTGCTCTCCTGTGGCACCCTGGGCTATTGCACTGTCGGCTGTGAAATTCTTTTTGTGGCTAGTGCAAGGTTGTGGCTCTGATTAGATTTCTATGTCCATATTATCACCACTGTTCTGTGTAATGATCTTCTGTGCTAATCAAGCTGCCAGCCACCGGCACCATCACATCTGCTAGCAACCCCAGGAGGTGTTCTCTGAATTATTTCCCTGTATTACAGGAATGGGAAGATGCCATTTATAAATTTTAAATTATGTCCATATATTTGCTACTTTAGTTCTGCACCATATAGGACAACTGCATATTTTGATTTGCGTTCTCTCGTTTTGCATCTACGGTCCCTCTGCATCTGTTTGTAGGTCTATATTTAAGGTGTGTACTTACACTTCGCAGCAGACGATTTCCAGTCGAAGGGAATTGTTTTTTCTACTGCCTTCGCAATACCTGGTTTATAGATAGTGCAAGGACATGAACCTAGTGCAAGGAGGTTACAGACAAAATAGGTTACACCCACTTTGCCCCTGCCCTGTTGTCATATAAGCCCTTGGGAACTGTAAGCTGTTGGCATGGTTTAAAGTAAAATAAAAATAAAAAAAAGAAATAAACCCCACAAGGCAGCATTAAATGCAATGTAGAATAAGTCCAATAAACAGTAATTGGCACACCAGAGAACATAGTTCTCTATACATCCATACAGATGTATCAATGTGCTTATGATTATCAAAACTGAGTAGGTACACGCAGGCACATAAGTTCATGTTTAACCACCTAAAAAAATGGTCTGATTTTTCAAAACTGCTGTGCAATCAGCAGATCCCACTAAAGTCAAAAGTAGGAAGCAAAGCTTTGTATTCTATACTACTATTTTTTATAGTGCTTTTCTTAATGAGTCTATTCTAAACCTTTTGCTAGCAGTGCCCTCAAAAAAATGAACAAAGAACAATCATCTTAACTATGCTGCAATGTGCTCTTACAATAAGTAAAAAATGTGGTGGGAAAGACAAAGTACTACTTTTACAATATCCTGTGCCAAATCACAGGTTATACAATTCAGTTTTTTATTTGCACAGCCAACAGTGCTTTGTAGAGCAATCAAGAAAGATAATACAATCCATTTTAAATTCTCATTACTTTAGAAGTGTTGAATCTTCTTAAATTGTTTCAGGGTTAATTGAGAATTTGCAGTTTTACAATAGATTAGGAATTGTTTAGGCTGCCCTTGTTTCATATTTTTGTGCATACCTTTGTTGCAAAGTTATAAAAACAACAATAAAAAAAGAAACAAAGAAGTGAAATGAAATAATGATCTGCATTGTTACTATTCTAGTAACTCAGTTTTACGGGAGATAAATCTCAGGTATTGATTAATGTTTAAATGGTTATTAAGTGGAAGGTCATGTTGGGTTGATGGAATGTCTCACTATGCACTAGCATTTGCCTTTGATTCTTTTCCACATATTTCCTAAGGGATAATTTCTGCCCCTGGGGAAGCCATTGGTGAGGCTCTGAGTGACTTGTGTGGGAGCATGAATAAGCCAAGTGTTTTCACTATTCGTCTCTTTTTCTTATAAATTCTAAAAGGTTGTGGTTTCCAAATTTGTCCTTTAGTTTATTTTTAAACACAGTAATAAATGGCTCATAAAAATGTGGAATTTTTCATGGCTGTATATATTGAAGTTTTGATCCTGAAACTGGCTGCCTGAAGACCTGTGGGTTCCTGTGTACCACGGGAAAGTCAA